TTCTAATGTTTGCATTTATGTGGTTTGTCATCATCAGTCTTGATGGACAAAATTGACCAGAGAAACATCAAATCATAATCACTCCATCAAGTTGTAATGGAAATTACGTATTAGTTGTTGTTTTTGCTCTGAACCCAGAGCAGAAAAACATCAACACTGTATACTTAAATGTTTTTTGATTTATCACAAGACATATCGTCATCACAATATTAAGCACTGTTATAGCACATCATGAATTTTGTTGATGTCGTGCAGCCCTAATTTTGAGTCGCWATCGGCGAGATGGAGAGTCAGAGTTCAAATATTATTTGAATACATGAAGACCAGGAAGTTCTCTTTCTTAAAGAGTTCCCCTTTGATGTCACTTCCTGTTTCACTTTGGCTGAGCCAAGTTCAAAAGAAAATAAACCAGTTATGGGACAAAATGGGTAAAATCGTGTTTCGCACCAACTTTCTTAAATATAAAGATGTTTTCTTTGACTGTATTGGAAAGACATGCATGACACGGACACCTTAATCTTCTGCATTTAAAGTGTTTTTTTATACCTGTTTTAAAAAGTGCAGATTTACCTTTTAGACAGAAAGTGTTGCTTAGTTACAGTGACAAAATAAATCAATATCTCTCTAGTACGAGCTGAGAAATGAACTGAACAGTGTTTAACAAAGGCTTGATGCTTTTCTTGAAATCTCCACATTCATTTTTAGCACAGCTGGTTGGTTTTAATGCACTTTAATGACATAATGAAGACACTGCATCTGTTTGTGTCTTTCAGGTGCCCACATTCTGCTGCAGAGGAGAGAGCACCAGGATGAAGAGACTGTAGGCACCCGCCGTAGTATGGCCGCGTCCCGTTCTTCGCGTGTCACAAGGTCATCAGTAGGGCTCAATGGATTGGATGAGAACTTTTGTGGTCGAACCCTCAGGAACCGCAGCATCGCCCAGCCAGAGGAAACCTCTGTGTCTCCGCTGCCAAGGGCACGCTCCCCCAAGAAGAAGCAGGACGGCAAGCCGGACGCCAAGCAGGAGTCGAAGCAGAACGCCAAGCAGGACAGCAAATCGGACGCCAAGCAGCACGCCAAGCAGGAGTCGAAGCAGGACAGCGAACCGGAGGCCAAGCAGGAGTCGAAGCAGGACAGCGAACCGGAGGCCAAGCAGGAGTCGAAGCAGGACAACGAACCGGAGGCCAAGCAGGAGTCGAAGCAGGACGCTGAGCAGGAGTCGAGGCTGGAGTCGAATGACATCAAACAAAACAACAAGCAGAACGCCAACGAAGAGTCRAACCCAGATTCTGGGCTGGAGTCGGAGCACGATGTTAAACAGGACGCAAAACCCCAGGAGACTCGCCTGCAGGATAGTCAACAACAGGACTTGTTGCAGAGAAACGTGAACGACTCCTGCGCTGTACCGGGTGATGCGGATCAATCGAACATTTGCAGGAAGCGGGGTGCATCCTGTTTGGAAAAAGACATCGGTCAAGAGAAGCACGAGAACTCTGACCCGGTGAAAGAGCCGCGGGATACCTCTCCTCAAATCAAAAGGGCCAAGCGGTGCTCCCGCTCTGGAGAACCTCAGGGACAGGAAGAGGACCACGGGTTTATGAAACCTGAAAGTCCAGTCTCTGTCCCAGAGCCTCTTAAGAACGTCATCTGTGAAAGATCGCCCAACGCGGCGCCCGCTTCGCCGGATCTCTGTACGCTGGAAAGTGACGGAATGGGGCGGAYGGTGGAGAAGCGCAGTCATGTGGAGTGTGACGAGGCGTTTTCACCCCAAAACTCCCACAAGGCTTCTAACGGACTCAGAGACACTGACGTAGACAAATCTAGCACACTTACTGAACAGACTAGTGTTAACCCCACCTCTGCCGCTGTTCTCTCGTCGCTGCTAAACGGCAGCCAGATGGGGGTTCCCTTGTTCCCCGACCCCTCTGTGCCTTTTAGAAACTCTGTCCCCGGGCAAAGGGAGGCGCCCGGCTCAGGGGAACTGTCGGCCTCGCTGGCGTCAACGTTCGTAGGTGCTTCAGAGGATCTCGTTCCCGACTTGATCGTGGCCAAAGAGCAGGAGGTGGAGGAGGTGGAGGTCGACGTCGTGGGCGATTCGTTGTGCGTCGCTCATGAGGAGCAGGTGAGCGACAGCAACACGAACGGCCGACCGACGTCGCCGGCGCGGGACGCCGCAGGCTCCGCCTCCTCCTCTGCTTCAAACACAAACTGTAGTTCAATCAACAACACCAACTCAGGAGAAACTACACCCCTACTGACAACACCCACCTCCCCCTCCACAGAACCAGGGTGCAGCCCTTCCATATCCAGCGTGTCCCCGTCTTTCACAGAGCTCTACGAACACAGATACACCCTGAGGACTTCGCCCAGGAGGGTCGCCTCTGGCGGCAAGGCGTCACCCTCCAAACCCGGCTCTCCTCTGACAGATAACGGACCTTTAAGGGAGGAGGGAGAGGCGGAGGAGGATTGTCCCGTGGCAGAGGAACCGGTTTGCTCGGACTCGCTYGGCCTTTTTGGCCAGGAGGAGTCAGTTTCTGTGAATCCTGAACACRGGGACGGTGATAAAGATGGTGGCTTTATGGAAGACCAGGAGCTGAGAGGAAACCAGGCTGCGGACGAGGAAGAGGAGGAGGAAGAGGAGGAACCAGATGTGTATTACTTTGAGTCGGACCACCTGGCACTTAAACACAATAAAGAGTATGTGGGAGCTCCCGAGAGGATTCAGCTTAATGTGTTGTTGATGTGGTTCTCACACGTGTTCATTACTGTGTTTGTGGTTATAAATGAACCAGATTTCTGTTTGGAAAATGTTAAATCTGATTCCTCATCAAATGTCCTTCAGTTATTCCAAATATTTACCCTTCCTTAAAAATAGCTTTGAAGCAAATGCTTAAAAATTATGTTTATGGAGTTTTAGTGAATATAAACTTATTGGCAAACTTCAAATTATAGTTTATATCCGGTTTTGTTTATTTGTTTTGCTGTGAGTTTCCTGTCAGTTCTCCCAAAGCCTGAAGGAAAATTACACTTGAAATTGACTGTGGGTGAGCGCTCCTGTAATCTTTCTTTTCAGGAAGAAAAGATCAGATTTGGAGGYTAAAAAGCTCTTGTTGATTCGTGCTTTTGATGTTGGATGTTTRTGTTAGAGAACGATCTGCGGCAGGTCAGGTGATTCAGCTTCACAGGAAGTGGGTGTTGAGGGATATTTTTTTGGGCTAAGACCAGTTTTGGTTTATTTGAACTGTTAGGATTTTACTGCTGCTGTGTTGTTGTTATTATTAATATTATTATTATTTAATTGATCAAGTTTTAGTGTCAAACCATTGCTGAATAAGAATAGTGCAGCCTGGAGACATGATTTTATAGCRTCTGATTTAATAGACTCAAGTTTTCAGTCATATAATGTCTCATAAGGTTTAATTAATAAAGACATTAAGGTAGCTACATTAATGTCTAGACCAGTAGTGTCCAACCCTGGTCCTGTAGGGCAGTGGTTCCCAACATCTTTAGACTTGTGTACCCCCTGAGTCATTTTGTCATACCACTAGTACCCCCTCAGTCAAACGTAATGGTGATTCTCCAAAACAACAATGTACAACAGCATACAGTACAGCATTTATTTAACTCCCTAGAATGTTTAATTCTCAGGCATTTTACTCTTTTCAACTCAAATTAAACAAAGATAAAAAAAAACATTGCCTTGAAAGTGAAAAAGTAATTAAATAAATAAACCAGGTAAAGGCAGGTGCAGAAAACAGCTGCGTCCAAAATACATCAAATACCCMAAATGAGCAAATTCTGTGAGACTCCGCATCTAATACTGGATTACATTTTGTGTCAATTTTGTGATTCCGTTTGCATTTTCCGTATTGTGGAAATCAGGGCCCTACTTATCTCAGCCCTATTTTTATAAATTTTTTTACACACCTGGAAAATTTTTCCAAGTACCCACTGTACCCCTGGTTAGAATCACTCCTGTAGGGCCACTGTCCTGCACGTTTTAGAGGTTTTAAAGTGCTTGTGACGTCAAATTTTTGTAACGCTCATGAATGCATTTTTAGAAAGAAAACATTGATAAAATATTGCTGAGATGAACAGTTGAGAAATTTGCCTGTGAAGTAACAGGAARTGATGTCAAAGGGGAATGTCTGCATGTGAACAGAGTGTTGCTACAACAGCCAACAACCCAGACTGTAGAGAATAATCTGATGTTTCTTAAGATTATTTTGAGTGTCTATCAGAGAGATGAAGATGAGTCGGAGTCCAAATAATATTGTTTCAATAAACAAAGACCAGAGAGTTTTCTTTGTTAAAGAGTTCCCTTCTGATGTCACTTCCTGTTTCACTTTGGCTGAGSCAAGTTCAAAAGAAAATATGCAGTTATTGGACAAAATTGGTTAATTTGTGTGTATTATTCCAACTTTCTTAAATGTAAAGATGTCTTCTTTGAAGAATATGCATGTCACAGGCACTTTAACACACCTGATTTGAATGAATGGGTGATTAACARGCTTTGGTRGAACTTGTAAAGGTAATTCAGTCACTGAATTTGGTGTGTTGGAACAGGGGAACATGTAAAACATGTGTAGCACCCCTCCAGGACAAGGTTTGGACACTGTTGGTCTTGGCCAGTGGTTCCCAAAGTTGAGGTTCTAATAATTATATTTAAAATGACGATTAGCAACAATTTCTGCCTTAGTTATGAAATAGTGAAGCTAGTGTATTTAAAATGAAAATGGTAGCATAATGAAAATTGTTACAATGTCCTTGTTTATTCGACCTGAAACCAACATTTATCCACCACAGGTCTCTGATGTTGTTCTGTTGGTCAAAAGCTGAAAGGATTTGGGAACCAGTGTTCTAGACGAACCTTTGGATAAACACCCCTGTTTGTTACCAGACCCCTGGTCCAGTAGATGGCAATAAAACACCAGACTTGTCCCTGGACGTTTGAAGGGAGTCCAGCGTCGGKTGCTAACAGATTAAATATTAGATCATAGAGTTTGTGTTTCTTTCAGAAATACTAGAACAAGAATCTCCTGTAACAAACTTTAAAGCTTTTCTTACTCGTGGGATTTTAAAGCTCCTCGCAGGCTCAGAATAAATTGTGTCCTTTTGCATTGATTTTCATTCATGTTGTATTAGGAGCRATTGATCCACTCTGCCCCTCTGAGCAACTGCATTAGTTTGTAGCGCAGTAGCCGGCGGTCACATTCCTGTCGATCCCACCCCACCGCTCTGCTCGCACTGTAAGGCGTCTGCATTGGGACTGAGCTGAGTCATTGACAGTTCATTTTGCAGTTCTCCTTTTTATTTTGTATTTTTACTCCGGAGATCGTGAGCGGAAAGGTCAAAGCTGCAGAACTGAAGGCTCAGCCGTGCGCAGGTGTTTAATATTTGCACAGTTACAGACGCTCCAGTGAGGTAATTCTTTTGACGAGGCTTTGCAGCTGCCACGACTACAACGAAGTGATAACCTCTGTGCGCTCGTTCCTTGTAAGTCAGAAACCGCTGCTCAGAACAACTTTTTAGGTTCGCAGCACCGTTGTTGAATTATGTATGAGCTGCGGTCTGAAGGTTTTTTTGTGTCAGGTTAAATAAGAATCAGTCTCCTCTTCTTGTCTGATGTTGCTCCCCTCTCTGTGCCAGTTATCAGAGACTGCTGCAAACCATCGTAGTGCTCGAGGCTCAGCGCACGCAGGCCATTCTTGACCTGGAGACGTTGGCTCGTCATCAGAGAGAGGCGCTCGGCGATCCCATCGGCTTTGTAGAGCAGCTGCAGAAACAGGTAATGATTACTGCCAGTGGTGGACAAAGTACTCAACTCTAGTACTTGAGTAAAAGTATTGATACTCATGGTCAAATCTTCTCAACTACAAGTAAAAGTTACTCCATCAAAAATCTACTCAAGTTAAAGTACYGAAGTACTTGCTTTTGAAAATACTTAAGTATTCAAAAGTACAAATTAAATTCTCTAATATCAGTACATTGCTGTACTGTTTTTAGAGTAATTTTACAGAACCTTGTAACTCAGAAACCACCTGATRTATCAACATGTGGAACCACTCTGCTACAAATTCACCACCTGCAAAGACTTAAGCAATAAAAATGCAATAAAGTGAGTTATTAAATGCAGAAATGTAGTTAATCCACTGTGAGCCCATAAGAGATTTAAACTGATGGGAACTATTTTTCAGTCCTAAAATCTCAAACAATGGGCCTCATGCAAGAACCGTTCGTACGCACAGATTTGTTCTTAAGTTGTGCGTACGAGTGATTTAGGAGAATTTGTGGCATTCACCAATRTTTTCGTATTCTAAGATTTTCTTTCTCTACTGCTCTTCTTCTGAATAAATGAAAACTATGTAACACAGTTGTTTATACTTGAATTGAAAATATTTGACCAAAGAAAAACCGGAGCTCTAGAGAGAGATGAAAATGATTTAGATTTTTATTTCTGTCTGTAAACGACCCACAGGAGACACGACATTAACAACAGTCGTCATTTCATTCCTCGGCTTTAGCAGGTCTGACGCTGCTAAAAATGACTTTTTTTTTCTTTTCTGGATCTCTGAGGGCAGGACTTCAATCTCCGAACTCGTAAAGTTCTTTTTTTACTTTGCGATGTCATTTATGAATGGACACTTCCTGATATGTGGGGCAGGAAACATAGCCTTATATGGTGTTTTTGGGGTGGATATTATGCTAATCACCTCTCCTCGTGCACGAGCAGCTGATACGTATTCATCAGTTTACGCAGCTCGTTTACACACTTTTTTTGAAGATAGAAGAGTTATTTGAATCTGATGTGGCATGTTCGTACGAACAAAAGTAAGAGAAATTTAGGATAAGAAAACTGTGATGGACTTGCGACCTGTCCAGGGTGTACCCCGCCCCTCGCACTGTGACTGCTGGATATGGACACCAGTGACACACGCAACCCTGAAAAGGAAGAAGCGTGTACAGAAAATGGATGGATGGATAAGAATACGAACATGTTCTTTCATGAGGCCCAAACTTTGAGCTGAGAGATGTTCATGGGTGAGCTGGTTTCTCTACTTTCTTCATCCGTCTCCATTGCTGGTTTCTGTTTGAAATGAAGGTGGAGCTCAGGCTCAGCTCGCGACAGTTAATGATGATTATATAATTCCAAATCTATCCTAGATGTGAGCTACGACTGTGATTGGTTCCTCTTGTGAGAAACATAACGTGTGGCCAAATGCATTTCAAGAAAAAAAAAACAGCAACAGCTGATTACAAAGCTACGCTGAACCAAAACAAGAAACTAAAAGCTTCCTAGAAATGCAGTGGAGTGAAAGTCATAAGTACCCCCCAAAAATTATTACTCAAAGTAAAGATACTCAAAAGATGTATACTGTTGTAAATGTACTCCACTACTGTCCTCCTCTGATTACTGTTGGGAAGCAGGGATGTGCGGTTTGAAGCTGGTTGTCAGTGTTTGGTTCCTGTGACCCTCAGGTGAACCTGGGCCTGCCGTGTCCTCAGCGTGTCGTTCAGCTCCCCGACATCGCCTGGGAGCAGTACACCTCAGGCCTCGGGGATTTCGAGAGAGAGTTCTGCGACAAGAAACGGAAAACGCGGCAGCTGAAGTTGATCTTTGATAAAGGCAAGCATGAAATTGTGTTTTTATTTTCTATTTTACAAACTATTAAACCAAGGTGAGGTGTATGAAATGGTTCAGATACTTTAGTATTTGTCCAGTAGGGCTGTACGGTATAGAAAAACTGACGTTTATAAAAATATGCAGTAATTTTTAACAGATGATTTGAACACTAAGTTCTGCTGCCATGCTGTTGACGGTGAACCTGCACTGATCTTACCTTTTCTTTGTGCGTGTTACAAAAGTTTTTTGTCTGTATTTGAGTTATTTTCTTTTATTGTGCTGGAATCTGAGTTCATGTTTCCTTCTGTCATCTACAAATGTGAATTGTGTTTTACCTCCTAATTTGTTGCTTCTGTCTCTAAGTTTCTGTTTAATATTAGCATTCATGCTAAAGCCTGGTTTACATGGCAAGGTTTAAAAATTGTCAGTTGTTTTTATAAACCTGAGGGATCTCACACATGATGATTAAAAAAAGTCATAGGAACAGATTTCACTCAAACATTCAGATGTCAGATGGGAAATCTCGCGAGACTTCTCAAGCTCAAACGTGAGTTCAGAGTAAACATGGCAGATGAGGAAGAAACCATGCCAAGAGTTTGTGGACTGTTTTTAAGAGAGAAGAAGCAAAACAAAAAGACGTCCACTGGACTTTCTGCTGCTCCATGGCAGCTGTTTTAGATTCCCCTCCATGTTTCGTTACCTCTTTTTCTGATTGGCTACACGTCACATTAAGATTACATAATCAGAGCGTCTTTAAGATTGTCAAAAATCTGCACGATTACCTTGCAGAACTGCATTTTACCTCCTTTTCCTCCAGTTCTGAGAATTTGCTCATCTCCCTCATCGTTTTCCTCCACAGCTCAAACATTCGACAACGCTTTTCCAAAAATCGTTGCCATTATTATTCCAGAAGTTTCACAACAAAATGAAAGTTTTAGCCTTTTTGACACGAGGCTGCCTGAAGCAATCCTTCAAAATAAAAGACCGTTTAGTGCAGTGACTTTTGGTTTACAGTCTCTAGATGTAACTGTTGCACCTGTACGATGATGACGATGCTGGAACGATAAATCGTGCAGCTCTGTTGTTCAGTAATGTTTGTAGGCGATTTTGAAACGCGGGTCCGCGCTCAGTGTAAATAAATCACTTTGACACGACACCATCTCCTCCTCCCCACCACAGGTTTGCCCCTCAGACCAAAAAGTCCCGTCGAACCCAAGAAGGAAGGTGAATGCTCCAGCACGTACTCCTCCCTCCCCATGAGCGACGCCCCGGAGAACGCCGGGCAGACACAGGTACGTCTCGTTTCCTCTGAAGCTGCGTCCTTCTCCAGCTGACCGTTTCCAACTGGTGATTCACTCTCCTGCAAACCGTCCCACAAATCACCCCCTATTTTAAACTCATCTCCTTTAGTCCTATTCTTCATCAGAGCCGAGAATGTGCAGGAACAAAAAAAGCTGGTATCTATGGAAACATGGCGTGCAAACCTCTTTTGTTCTTCTTTCTTACTCGTTATATTTTTGTCTTTTTTTTCCCTTTCTGTGGTTTCTGCAGTAATGTTTTACTTTAATTGATTATTTGGATTAAAAGGTGGGAAAACAATTTTCTCTGAGCAAACAACTCTTGATTATTGTAGTTATTGTGGCTCTTCCTGTTTATATTGTGCCAGCACATTTGCATTCTGCCAGCAGACGTGCTCTGAATCCTGAAACGCTTTGATTTGTCACTCAAAGGAGTCGCTGTTTTACTCGCAGTGACACGTCTCACATCACGTCTGACAGCCAGCTTTTCTTTGTCAAACTGAAGGATTCGGATTGTCTGTTCATATGTTAGCATCCTTTCAAACGATGCTTTCTTCCTTTTTTGGTCTTGTCAGTCTTTTAAAATGTTTGTCAATGTCTTTGACAGATGATCAGGGGGAGGATTTGTCACCCAAATAAGCCTCAAACGTTTAACCAGCTGTGGACGGTGGAAGAACAGGTTGGGATTCATCACGTTAATTTGCTCTTTAATTGCATTGGATTTAAGCAGACGTTTATAAAGTTCTTAAAATAAATGACTAAGAAAAGTAAAAATATCTGAACAGAAAATAGGGTAAAAATTTATTTCACTGAAAAGAAAAGTACTTAAGTAAATGTGATAAAACTGCTCACAATAATCGCAAAAATAAAAGTACTTTTACACACTAAGAAATGTAGCGTTGAATTTGCTAAAACAAACTGGTTCCAATAAACTGAGTTGAATAAATTGACCAATAAATTACTTTACATTTATTCAACTCAGTTTAGTGGAACCAGTTAACATACAGCGGGTAAAATAAGTATTGAACACGTCACCATTTTTCTCAGTAAATATATTACTAGAGGTGCTAATGACATGAAATTTTCACCAGATGTCGGTAACAACCCAAGTGATCCATACATACAAAGAAATCAAACCATAAATGTCCAGAAATGAAGTTATTTGTAATAATGTGGAATGGCACAGGGAAAAAGTATTGAACACACTTACTGAAATTTATCTAATACTTTGTACAAAAGCCTTTGTTGTCAATGACAGCTTCAAGACGCCTCCTGTATGGAGAAACTAGTGGCATGCATTGCTCAGGTGTGATTTTGGCCCATTCTTCCACACAAACAGTCTTCAAATCTTGAAGTTTTCGTGGACCTCTTCTATGAACTCTGATCTTTAGTTCTTTCCATAGATTTTCTGTTGGATTCAGGTCAGGTGATTGGCTGGGCCATTCCAGCAGCTTTAGTTTCTTTCTCTGAAACCAACTGAGAGTTTCCTTGGCTTTGTGTTTGGGCTCATTGTCTTGCTGAAATGTCCAGCCACGTTTCATCTTCATCATCCTGGTAGATGGAAGCAGGTTTTTTATCAAGAACGTCTCTGTACATTTTTCCATTCATCCTTCCTTCAATTATTTGAAGTTTGCCAGTACCATATGCTGAAAAACAGCCCCACACCATGATGTTCCCACCTCCAAACTTCACTGTTGGTATGGTGTTTTTGGGCTGATGTGCAGTGCCATTTGACCTCCAAACATGATGTGTATTCTGGCATCCAAACAGTTCAATGTTGGTCTCATCTGACCAGACTATATTCTCCCAGTATTACACAGGCTTGTTTAAATGTTGTGCAGCAAACTTTAAAGGAGCTTCAACATGCTGTTTCTTCAGCAGTGGAGTCTTGCGTGGTGAGCGTGCATACAGGCCATGGTGGTTCAGTGCATTACTTATTGTTTTCTTTGAAACAATCGTACCTGCTAATTCCAGGTCTTTCTGAAGCTCTCCACAAGTGGTCCTTGGCTCTTGGACAACTCTTCTGATAATTCTTTTCACTCCTCTGTCAGAAATCTTGTGAGGAGCACCTGGTCGTGGTCGGTTTATGGTGAAATAATGTTCTTTCCACTTCTGAATTATGGCCCCAACAGTGCTCACTGGAACCTTCAGAAGTTTAGACATTCTTCTGTAACCGATGCCATCATTATGCTTTGCAACAATAAGGTTGTGAAGGTCTTGAGAGAGCTCTTTACTTTTACCCATCATCAGATGGTTCTTGTGTGATACCTGGCCATCATTTGGGACTGAACCAGCTGATATTAATGTGCACTGACAAGGGCAGGCTTGTTTTCTAATTACTGAGAGAGTTCAGCTGGTGTCTTGGCTTTCCATGCCTTTTTACACCTCCCTGTCTTCATGTGTTCAATACTTTTTCCCTGTGCCATTCCACATTATTACAAATAACTTCATTTCTGGACATTTATGGTTTGATTTCTTTGTATGTATGGATCACTTGGGTTGTTACCRACATCTGGTGAAAATTTCATGTCATTAGCACCTCTAGTAATATATTTACTGAGAAAAATGGTGACGTGTTCAATACTTATTTTACCCGCTGTAACTTAGTTAAATAAATTCAACATTTTTCAGAGTGCAGAATAGGCCTGTCACGATAACAAATTTTACTGGACGATAAATTGTCTCAGACATTATTATGATAAATGATAATATTGTTGGAGACCAGTTTAAAATAATATAATGATATAGCAACACCTGTTTACAGAAGTTTACATTAAAATTTTAGGTGGTGTAAAAAAGAAAGAACAACTGTCGGCAATCCTAAGTCATCGCCAGCTGTATGAAGGCGTCAGAAAACTGAAGACGCTCCTCTGGATAAATGCCTGTTCACAGGCTCTCATGTTACAGAGGTCAGGAGAGTTTACTCCTCTCTACGCTAAGGAGTGGAAAAGATGGAGACATGAAGAAAACAAAAAGCAGGCAAATGAAAATTGTCTTCTTTAATTTAGCTTCCTCAATTTAATTTATCATACGATTAATTGATTTATTGTTTATTGTGACAGACCTAGTGCAGAAACAACTCCTTTCATGGTGAGTTCTGGTCATATTTAAGTTTGTAGCGTGTAACAAGGTGTTAAATTGTAAAGTAAAGAAGTAAAAGTATCATTTTTATGTTTTAAATGTAATGAAATAAAGGCAAGTTATGATTAAAATAACAAATCATCAAAAAACCTACTGTAACAAAGTAAATGTACTTACTACACACCTCTGGATTTAAGACACAATTCAAAAACACAAAGATTAAAAAAGAACAATTTACATCCAGTGTTTCTGGATCTTTTACTTTAAATATTCTCCTTTCTGCAGAAACCGTTCTAACAAGTGTCTGAACAGAATAAATCAAATCTTTTTACAGTGAAGTAATAAAATCTGTGTCTGAGCAGTACAAGAACCTGCAGTATATATTCAGACTGTAATAACTTTTTAATAGTTATTTTAATGATGTTTTCAGGCTGCAGAGGCTGCTGCCAAGTCGTAACTCTTATGGTTTTATTTTAACTTCAGCTTGCACATTTTAAAAATGTTTCTATATTTTTATTAAACCAACATACAGTGCAGTAACTGAACATATTTCATTCTCAAACACATGTATAACAGTTGTAGTCTTGTTTAGTAAATATGGATATAAAACATTGGACGCAAACAAAAAAAATAGAAATAGTATTAAACTAGTAGAAGTTGAATGTTAGCCTTTAAAACCTTACAGAGGAATGAATCATAAATTAAAAGTTACATCATTTTACTCTTCTTGTCTGATTGGATGTTGCTCTTAGGGATGTCCCGATACAACTTTTTCACTTCCGATACGATACCGATATTGCAACTTTGAGAATTGACCGATACCGATATTGACCCGTTACCAAAACAGTACAAGTCACACACTTTTACCTATTTTGTAGTGTAAAATCTTAGAAAAGTCTTGATCAAGTCAAACAGGGAAAAAGAGTAGGTATGAGAAAAACTGACCCATTTATTTTTAACCAATGGATCACATACATTTTAAACTGAAGAACATTCTACAATTTAATATATAAAATAAATTACAATACCCTGAATAAATAACATAATAAAAACAAAATGTACTTTTAAAGTGTAAAATAATTCAAAATCACTCCAGTTATTTTTTTTTTTACCATCTGTCAGCCTGGTGCTGCTTTATGGTGGGAATAACTGAAGGTGGGGACAAAACAAAACCCCACATTATTGTCTGTTCAAAGTTAAGAGTCCACAGCTCCAATTTTACTGACTGTAACTAAAACAACGTGATCATTGATAGATAGATAGATCTTCATTTGCCATTTGTGTATATACTAGCAGTTTATACACATTGAAATTCATGTGAGGGCATCTCTCCTAGTCACAGTTTAGATGACAGAACAGTAATGATAGAAAAAACATTATAAAACAGTATAAGAACAATAAAAAAGTAAAAAAGGAAATTATATATATATACACAATATACACACACACAAGGAAACATAAGAGGGCGAAAAGGAAAATAATTGTGTGAAAGTGTAAAGAACACTGAGGCAGCCGATTTTTCAATGACTTCAATGATTTTATCAAGAATACGTCCCAATAAACACAACCTGAAACAAACAGAGCTGAGGTCTGAGGTAGGTCGGTGCAGTGATGATGGCCTAATTGGGTTAACTGGGTTACTGGCTTGTTGCGTGCTTTATATAGGACCTACTTACGTATGGACCCAGATTCAGAGTGGAGAGCTGAAGAGGAACTCATCTTCATCTTATTATACAAAAAAACGACGACAAACTTCTTTCATAACACACAAAGTTCAAAGTTGTGTGAAAATCGACATCAGTGCATATTTAGAATATCAGAACAAAACATAATTGTTGTCCTCTCTCAATTACTCATTCTGAATGCATCTCACACTCACACACACACACACACACACACACACACACACACACACACACACACACACACACACACACACACA